GGGTTTAGATTTTGGGTTTAGGATTTAGGGTTTAGGGTTTTAGAATTTAGGGTTTAGGGTTTAGGATTTAAGGTTTAGGGTTTAGGATTTAGGGTTTAGGGTTTAGCCCATAAACCCTTTTTCCCAGATGTTGAACCATGGGCCCTAAGACAGGGTTCTTAATCCTGCGGTCCCTATATGCCCACTACATACCCTTTATATTGTAGTTTTCATAAATATGTGTACCCCAAACATAATCCCCAAAATACTATAGTTCTTGTTATGGCGACCCCCGAACCTTAATCCTGAACCCTAGATCCTAAATTCCTAAATTTAGAAAACCTCTACATGTACCCCGATGGGCTTCTAGAGAAGCGAACGGCCCGCGCTGGAAGTTCACCTTTTTGTAGTGGACATGGGTTTGTAGTTGGGTTTAGGGTTTTAGGGTGTAGGGTGCAGGGTTTTAGGGTATTTAGGGTGTAGGGTTTTAGTTTTTAGGGTTTTGGGGGTTCTATTCTGAGGTTCGTTTTGCGGAGCGGACGTCTAGACCCCCAAACAACTGCCATGTTAAGCTCTTAAACCCTGGGCCCATGCTCTGGACCTTCAAGACTCTGGCTGGGGATCCAAATATATAGCTAATACAGTACCTACTTCGAGCCCTCAAGTCTACAAATAAAAGCCTACATCGGGCTGGATGCCTAAGAGATTTGGGGTGTCACTGGAGTTTCCAAGAATGAGGCAAGGTTTTGAAGAGGGACTTTCGACATGAAATCCACCACCATGTTGACCTCTCTACCTCTGAGGGTCACGCGGCATTTAGGCCTTTAGGGTTGCACGAAACTTCCACAAGAACAGGAAATTTCCACAAAGTGCTTCAAACGAATACCCACACACTACCCCTCCCACGCTGAGGTTCGCCCTGAACTAACCTTACAATAATTCACGTTAATGGGTTAAGGGTTTAGGGCTTAGGGTATTAAGTATATGTAAGCCTTGTTCAGAATGAACCTCAGCAGGGTAGTACCGTCTTGAAAGGGGACAAAACCGTGCCAGCTTTCGATTCAAAATTTCTATCTGGGGTTTCCCAACATTAAGAGCACGTTTTTGGGGGTCCTTATTGTAAGGACTTAATTTATTTGAAGGTCCAAGTCGAATTTGGCCCTACATTCTCAACCAGAAATAGGGCTTAGGGTTTAGGGTAGGATTTAGAGACAACCGCTGATGACTCCCAAAACAAGCAACAGGACATGAACAAGAGAAGCCCCACTGCAACCTTGTAGAACTTGGGAAAATTTCAAAATTTAGGGGTCTAGGGTTAAGGGATAGCCAAAAAACGATAGAATGTATATATGCCATCTAGCTTTTTTTAGTTCCATGACTCCCAAAAATAGGACCCTCCCATGACAGATGCAAGGTTCTAATTTGGGAGGTTTGGAATCTTTTTTTTTGCACATGCAGAAAGAGAGTTCCATCGTTGAACGAATTATTCTACCCTTCACCGAACCCTGGTAGAATTCGTGCTTTCACACAGGTCTTGGTTCTTTGGACCATACTTGCTGAACACATAAGCCAGGAGGCACTTCTCCATTCTAAATTTGGCTAGAAGTTTCCATAAACTGGAGGACCCCAATAAGGACCCCCCAAAATTCTATAGTTCTTACTCTTATGGCATCAGCAAGCACAAGAAAGGACCCCCCATGTTTCGGAAGCTTCATTTTACACGGCATCCTTGTCGCTCAAACTAAGGTTGAAGCCATGGGCCCCTATTATGCGCCCTCAACCCTGGAATCCTTACCCTAAACCCTAAACCCTAAACCCTACGCACCAGACATGGCCTAGCTGATCATGAAGAAATCCTAAACCCTGAACCCTTATATACCCAGTATATACCCTGCAGGTAGCCTGAAGGATTCCTAGAACCCTGGTAAAAGGACTAAGGGCAGATGTTTCGGACCAATACTTCTAAGCTTAGACACGAACCCTAAGACCTAAACCTTAAGCTCTAAACCCAGAACCCTCTTCTACTATAGCTTAGGGGGTATAAGGGAATAATGGGGATTACTAGGTTACCTACCCCCCTTGGACCACCCCACCTTAAGCACATCCAAAAAACAGTAGTTTCCATTTTCTTTTCCATTATCTCCATATAACCCCTATCTAACCCATATTGTCCCCATACAGACCTAAACCGCATTTCAAGACAATGATGGGCTGCACACTGGCTCGTGGTTTCGTCACCCGGCACACGGGCATGTTGCTTGCCCTCAAAAAGTTTCCGTGGTTCGAATGTTGATGGGGACAGTTTGGGGGCCTACTAGTGACATTTATATATATATATATACACATATATTAATGTTGGGCCCTATTTGGCCTTGAGGGTCGCTTTAATGTGCTTTGGGATCAGCTTATTCAGTTTCAGGGGTAATGATACGAGGGCCGCTTTAATGTGTTTCGATTGCGGGGCCCTAGACCCTAAATCGCGTGGAGGGTTTCACAACACTCCCTTCGAAATCAATCCACAGACACCTCAGAACCGTAGGAGGCTGAGGGCACGCGATTTAGGGTTTAGGGTTCAATAAGTCCTTAATTTTGATTTTGCTCAGGGCCCTATTGTTAGGGGGGGGGCTGTTTAAAGAGGGTCCAACATTCAGGTTTGGGGTTTCACGTTCTGGTGTGCTGGCCGCTAGAAGTATAGGCAATGTAGCAGCCCCAAACCACTAAACGGATTGAAATAGTCATTCAACACCGAACCTGGGCAGTGTAGCTGCAGGGCTGAGTGGGATATGGGAGGGTTTACGGTTTAGGGGTTGTATTTAGTTTTGTGGAGTTTTCAGCAGCTGTATTCAAAGTACACTGAAGCCCAAAGTGCAACGCTTAGTTGCTGACCTCGTGATGGGCTTATAGGGGTTTCAGGTTTAGGGGGTTATCGTTTAGCTGTTTAGTTCTGAAAGGGGCATAGGCCAGGGAAGTGCCAAAGAGATGATTCTGATAGCCTGCCTTACGACATCCCTAACGGTGGGGATGCTCCGTAAGCATGTACGGATTCAGGTTTAGGGTTCAGGGCCCCAACAATGCACCCCCTCAAACTGGCTTAATGCTCCAGCTAGGGCGGTGGAAGTGTGTATACTTGACTCAATACCCCCACCTCATTTGGAATAAACGTGGTAGCTACACTTTACCTTTATCTTGCTGGTTTGTAGTAGGGAGTAAGGGAATATTTTCATAGGGATTGTATTGCAGTATTCCCTACTCCTTAAACCCTAATATCCCTTCTACCCTCTTGACCGTAAACCGTGAAGCCTATGCCCTACATTAGATTCCTTACAGTATTCTCGACTGACCCTACACCTTCAACCCAAACCCTCCCTTATTCCCTACTAACCCTAAGACCCATATTGTGTTCGCTTATTCCCCAAACCCTAAACCCCATATCATATTACAGTATTCCCTACTAAGAACTGCAGAAAGTCATGCCTAAAATCAAATACCGTCAGAGACTGCCCGGGACCGACATAGCTAGCCCTAGGAAAACAAACCCCTGCTAGGGTCGATGAAGCACACGAGCTTGGGAGCGCATAGGGTTTAGGGCTTCACTAGGGCCACGGAGTTTTCATGAATCTCATCTGAAAGAGGTAATCTAAACTCCTAGTTTTCGCCTTAAGGACCCTCATAATATATATATATATATAAAGAGTCCCATACACAACGCCCGTTGAAGGAGTTTGGACTCTAGCTTGCAGAGCGTGGGCAGGTTGCGGTATGTTTCCCTACATGACCTATAGTCTAAACTCCTAGTATCCCCCCCAATTAGCCCTATAATACTCCCCTATATTGTCTACTGTAAAAACCCTTTTTGCAACAGGCTTTCTGAGTCCACGAGATAACCCTAAACCCTAAACCCCCTTTAAGGAGTTTAGACTATAGCTCACAGGGATTTTCTTTGCTGTTTTACCCCCTAATCTGAAAACACGTCAAAGGCCCAGCCCAGCCTCTCAATCCCGAAGCTCTTAAACACTACTACTAGGTTGCTGTTGAGGAACTTAAATGAAGCCACCATAATGGGTAGATATACTAATTATTACGGTTTCCCCAATGTAGTAACTTAAATTAAGTTCCGTAACAGCAACCCTAATTAGGATTCAGGGTTTAGGGCTTAACACGCGAACCCTGGCCTCCCTGAGCTTCAAACACCGTAACCCCCCCCCCCAAATCCTCAAACTGCATGAAAACCATGCCTTAAATCTCTGAAGCCCTAAGTCTGAAACCCCATATCTCTAACACCTCTAAAACCCTCGACCCTAAATCTCTAAAACTCTAGACCCTAAATCTCTAAAACCCTAGACCATAAACCTCTAAAACCCTAGACCCTAAATCTCTAAAACTCTAGATCCCAAACCTCTAAAACCCTCGACCCTAAATCTCTAAAACTCTAGACCCTAAATCTCTAAAACCCTAGACCCTAAACCTCTAAAACCCTAGACCCTAAATCTCTTAAACTCTAGACCCTAAACCTCTAAAACCCTCGACCCTAAATCTCTAAAACCCTTGACCCTAAATCTCTAAAACCCTAGACCCTAAACCTCTAAAACCCTAGACCCTAAATCTCTAAAACTCTAGACCCTAAACCTCTAAAACCTTCGACCCTAAACCTCTAAAACCCTTGACCCTAAAGCTCTAAAACACTAGACCCTAAATCTCTAAAACTCTGTAAGGGCCTCATGCTCCGACCCCTGAACCCCGAACGCTTGGTAGGCAGAGATTGCCTACCAGAACCCTCCTTTTACCCTTTGTAAATAGGGGTACAGTCCCTAATAGCAGGTATGTAGGGTAGGCTAGAGGGTAGAAGGAGGGTCTATACCTATAGGTAGACCTCCTAAATTTGCATAATAACAGCCGTTATACCAATTACCGGGGTGGTAAATGGCCGAGATCATGAGCGTTTGGTAGGTCTAGGTAGGGTTTGGGCTGGAGCGTCCTCCTCTCGCGGCTGCCTTCTCTTGCCAGAGGTGGATCACTTCTTCTTGGGTGTCTCCTCTCGTGACATTGCACAAGAGGACTCTGTAAGGGTTTCTGGGTTTAGGAGTTTCGACCCCCTTCACTACTGAGTAAACTTAAACCTGCTAAGCTGCAGGCAAACCCCTAAACCCTAAACCCTAAAACCCTAAACCCCTAAAACCCTAAACCCCTAAACCCTAACCCCTAAAATCCTAAACCCCTAAACCCTAACCCCTAAAACCCTAAACCCCTAAAGCCCTAACCCCTAAAACCCTAAAACCCTAAAACCCTAAAACCCAGGTGTATTATGACAGATTGTATTATATTATAGTATGTATTGGGATAATTGAGAAATAAATGGAAACTACTATAGTATACTGAGGTTATATTGGGTATATGACCCATGACGTCGCCCTAAAACTCGACTTTGGCATTTAGGACCCATACTAGGGGTTAGCCCTTAGGTACCTTTATCAAGGTTAATGGTCTAAGGTCCAAGCTAAGTCCCAAGGAGATGTATATGCCCAACTCATGCTGCTGTCTTGCTCCAAACCAGCCCCCAAACTCCCGAAGTCATGTTCGTAGCTTCACTGGTTCCTCAGTTGCTCAAGTTCCAAAGTTTAACATGCTTTCCTAACATGCAGTAGTGTTGCAGCCGAGGGTTTACAGTAAACGACATGACGTTGGAACATAGAATTGGATGCTATATGAGCCATAATCTAAACTCCCAGTATCCCCCTTAAGAACCCCTATGGTAGTTCCCTATATGATCTCTTATATGACCCTCTTTAAGGAGTTTAGACCCTAAACCCTCAACCCTAAACCCTATATGCCGCTAGTTTCCCCTCATCCCGGGTCTAGGGCTAGAAGGATACTGGCGGTCCACATGCCCATCAAAGGCGGGCGAGTTTGGGATAAGTTCGTGGATATGAATCTTAAGGATGTCAAGGAGATAGTTTCCATAAATATGGGGTTCCAAATATTGACTTCAACATGCTAAAATCCTCACTATGCGGACCTCAAAAAGGTACCCCTAATTTCGAACAAATCCCATTTGCGAAATACAAGGGTTCGATCGCACGAGTGCTGGAGTAAGTGGATGAGTCTAGCTTTGCTTACACAGGTGGGGGTTTCCTGAAATTAGGGGTACCTTATTGTGGAGGGAAAAAGCATTTTGGGGTCTATAGTTTGGTCCCCTTCTTTACGAAATTTACGAAATGGATCGCCTTGCAGCTTTCGTAGATCTGTAATCCCCCCCAACATTAACCCCCTCACCACATTGATATTAAGTACTTGCATTTTCTCAACTTACACCCCAATGACTCGGTCAGGGGAACCGCGCTGTCACCCCCTACAATCCTTGCGGATCCCTGGCGCCTGCGAGGCAGGTTTTGGGTTTAGGTTTTGACCCTAAACCCTAAACCCTATCTTTCCTGCAAAGCCGTCCAGAAGGACACCGGCCCCCTCGTGGACCAAAACCTCCCTCTAATACTAACCCACCCTTAGTAGAGTACCCTTGTACATTAGGTACCATATGTTCTTAATCCACTCCCTTATATCAAAATCCAACCCCCCCCCCCGCAATAGATTATAGTATGCCACAAGGGGAATGTGAAATATTAGGGGGAAACCCCTAAACCCTAAACCCTAAGGGGGATAAAGGTGAGCGCATTAGGGTGGCGGATCCTGTGCACTGCAGAGCCCAACCCTAAACCCTAGACACAGAAACAACCCAGACCCCTGGGAGGATCTAAACAATATCCCCTATATAGACCCATTATAACCCCTATATAATCCCTATATAATTTCCCATATGGTTCTAGGGGATCTAGTTTTCAGATCCCTTTGGGGGCAGAAGAAGGCGGAACGAAGCTGTCTCTGGCACAGGGGCCGCAGCGCCCTTGCAGGGGCATTGTGCCCGCGTGTCTCTCCACGCGGCGAATGCCACGGCGAGGGCTCATGTATCTTTGCTGGAAGGACAAACCTGGTACCGGTTCCTGCCGCTTTGGACGCTGCGCGCGAACCACCGGAGCAGGAGCTTGTTGTGCACGCAACAGTCTGACACGGCGCCGCGCCAAAAAGCCACGAAACAGTGCCTGTAGCCGGATTGTCGCATTCCTTCTGCGAACATCCTGCACTGCCAGACGGTGCAACAGATCCCATGACAGCATCGGGGGTCTGGGAAGGCAACTCCCCTGTGTGAAGCCTCAGTTAATCCCTTCCCCCTAATATGAAATCCCCCCTTAATATAAAGGGGAAGGGATTCCTAGGGTTTTGGGGAATTTTTGTCGGACAGGGTTTAGGCTAAAGTTTAGGCTTTTGGGGTCTAGGGATTCCAAGAAGCCCAACCAGCCCCCAAACCTGATCCTCAGACCCTTTCTGTCCTCTGCTACATGGTCTATGAGGAATGCGAAGTCCGTCGGGGAGGACTGGTCCATCTTTCCTGCAAGAATAGGGGTGTTTCTCAAAATCAATCCTCTAGAATCCTGAAGGGGCACCCCTACAATTCCTTATCCTCCTTGGAGTCGCCAAGAGACTCATACTTGAAGAAAATCCCGTGCAGCAAAGAAATGATTTGATTTTCATCTTCAGCTTTGCAGGGTTTTGTGTTTAGGGCACTTAGTAAGTGGGGTAATAATGGGGATAATTGAGGCTATATAATTTGTCGTACAGGGGTTATTGACCTACTGTCTACTGTATTAATACCCCTGACGCCCGAAGTAGCCCCTAAACAGTAAGATATGGGTCCAAAGGCACGATGCATACCCTGTTGTCATTTGCCAAATTTGAGGCTCCCTGTGGAGCAATTATTGATACAATTGCATCATATGAGTTCCCAATCAAGATTCTGAAGGGCAGTATTCATGAATCTCAGAGGATCACTCTCGTTCTGAGAATCAGCTTGCTCAGATGGGCCTTGCTGCTCGCCACCCCAAGCCAAAGCTTCTGTATGCATCAGTCGGGAAAAGTGGGTGGTTGGACTTTTTACAGCCTTATGGTCTTTTCTGCCCATATAAAGCCCACACCACATGCCTTTGGCAACCAAGCTGAGGTTCCATCTACAGGTTTGCTCTTAAGAGCCCCTACTGTATGTTATCAGGGCTTCTTGTTGGGACGCACCAAGAATCAAGAACCGAATTTGCATTCTTCCGCATCCAACGCGCAAGATGGATGCTCTGTCGCGCTCTGGATACAAGGCTTTTGGCTCTAGGGTTTGGACTCTGGCTGTTGTCGCTTTCGTGCCCAAGCAGCTTTTTGCTAGAGAAGGAAAAATGGGCCCATGAGCTGGGAGAAATACCGGAATCGACGCAAAGCATTCCTCGATGGTCAAGTCTCGAGATCGTGACGGGAAGGTATAGGAGGGTCGTAGCAGTTTAGACGGGAGGACAGCCGGAGTCTGGCAGAGGAGTTCAGAGGTGAGGAAGACATTGAGAGCTGGAGTCCCGAGATGGCACGCGGAGCGGCTGAAGCGGCCGCGCACGGCAGATCAACCGTAGAAGTAAGAAGCCCGCAATGAATGTGGGGAATTAAAACACGACGTAGTCATATGCGATTCTGCAAGAGTCTAGGAAAGCCACAGAACCACATGAAGTTTTGATGGTCTCGTATCAACCCTATATCAGCTGTACTAGATCCAGGTACCAGTTGCTGAGTTCCCTAGTCCAAGAATGACGGTTCCCCATAGCCTGGAGCCAAATAGGGGGCCCCTGATTTGAGTATAGCCTGGGTTTCAAAGGCACCTAAAGGCCAGCGACCCAAACTCCAATCACTAATTGCGGAATGGCATGATTCATCATATGCCCATATTCATAATCCCACTTTTGATTTCACTTTGCATGTTCTTCTCATGTTGATTTTCCATTATAGCCCTAAGCCCAAAACTTGAACACCAACCCCTAGACCCTTCGAACCCCAAATCCCAAACCCTAAACCGGAAATCCTGAACCCTAACCTGGGGAACCCCCTAAACCCTAAACTGAAAACCCCTAGACCCTCAACCCTAGACTCTAAACCCTCAAGCCGAGGATGGGAGGGCAAAAACAGCTTCGATCTGGGGATCCGGGCTGGGGACCGGTATCCCAAATTGAGTCTCCTCAATCTCCTGAAAGCTTAGGAGTGTAGGGCCTTTTGGGGTTGAGGGGTTTAGGGGTTTAGGGTTTTGGGGTTTAAGGGTTTTAGGGTTTTAGGGTTTATGGGTTTAGGGTTTCGGGTGATTCTTAGAAGGGTGGATGCATGCAATTGGTCTGGCTTGACGGTTCCATCACAGGCTTCTCTAACAACAGAGTAGAGCTGCTAAACCATAAACCCATAAAATGCACATACACAGACAAAAAAAGAAATTGTAATTTCCCTAAATAAGTGGACCCCAATGTAGACCCCAAAATAATAGAATCCTTAGTATGGGGACCCCCAAAAAGGTACGCCTAATTTTGGGAAACCCCCCAAATATCCTTTGGGCTCGTGGGATGCCGTGGGCAAGTGATGAATGATGATCCTTGGCACTCTCATGGGTTGGGTACTGCCTAACAGTCTACATTAGGGGTCCTATTAAGGGCTATATATAACCATATTATAACTACTATCCAACTGTTACTGGGTGGGGGCAGTATCCAACTTATGGGGCATGCTCAGGGCATAAAGCCTCCGCGGTGCCAACTGCGTTGAGGGCTTAGTGTTTCGGTTAAGGGTTCAGGGGTTCAGAGATTCAGGGTCTAGGTCAGGGTTCAGGCGTTCGGGTTTACAAAAGACAGCAACTCAGATAGTTAGTTCATGAGTCATTCTACGTCTGGATATGAAAGCATTTAGGGTATTGCTGGAGTATCTTACTCTGCCACTCAACCTTAAACCCTAAACCCTAAACCCACATACCACCTAGCATCTTCCCATGAACCTCCATGTGGGCTGGGGTCGGCTTGTCCCTGAACCCTAAGGTTTCGGGTTTAGGGTTTGGGGTTTAGGGTCTAAACGCTAAACTACTACTGTACCCGCCTTGGAGCCCTCTCAACCAAAAAAACGCGGACTGTTTATTGAGCAGGGATCATAAGCAGCAATGTATAACATTACCTGGGTGGTGCTGCGAAGGCCACATCATCGATAGGATTCTGTGTACAGCAACACAGGGGAATTAGTATATATACTCATCCCAAAATGCAACCCAACTAATTACTGAAAACACACCATTAGAACCTCGCAACCGTGGACCCTAAACCCTGAACTCTAAATCCTAAACCCCTAAGCCCTAGGCCCTAAATCCTAAAAATACTCTGAAGTCCCGCAGCTCGCCGACTTCCACATCCATGGACCTGTTTTTGCAGCACATTTTTTGGGATTGAGGGGCCTTAAGGGCTTCAGGTTTAAGGTTTAGGGTTTACATAAAGTTTAGGCTTTCAGGTTGAGGGTGTAAGGCTTAGATTCCAGGGCTGTAAGCAAAATCACCGGTCACCAGCGTGCTTCATTGATGATGGGAGCTGCTGTAAGTATACGTTTCGAGCGGGTCGCCATGATGAAGATGGTAACCAACTGGGGGATAAAGACAGGACGCATTTTTTGAGAAGAGGCTTGGGAAAAACAAGCATGCGCGCTTCCCGAAGCCTACTCCCGTATATTCTGGAGGTCATATCTGCTCTGAGTGAAGGGGGGCTTCAAGTCCCATACCAACTGCATCCCCGACCCCTTAAACGCTGAATCTTAAACCCTTTTTGTCCATATGGGGGGTTTCCCAAATTAGGGGTACCCTCTTTGGGCGTCCCTACAATAAGGACTATTATATTTTGGAGTCTATATTGGGGCCCCTCTATTTTGGGAAACTACCATATGTACCCCGTAGCGAATCCCTATGGCTTGTCTGACGGCAAACTAAATTTACCCGCCTAATATGAAGGTCTTCTGGGGCCCCTATGAGTTCTGGAGGGGGGCTTTGAAACCTCAATACAATCCACATATAACTCCCCACACAATTGTCAAATGTCTGCCGGCACAGCCCCTCCACCGCAACTTCCCCATACAGAACCCTAAACCCTAAACCGAAAACCAAGACAAAGCTTGTTGCACAGTGTTTGATTGTTGGTTTAGGACCTCTGCTGGAGAAAGCAACATCGGCAATGCTGCCACCCCTCCCCACTAAGGGGTTAGGGGTTTAGGGAATATGAGACATATTATGAAATATTTGATTGAGAAGATCGTCCGGCAGCAACTCTTAACTAGCCCGAGCCTACAGTTCACATGAAGGTTCGCTGGGCCGTTTCCGGGTAACTCAAGTATGCTTACATGCTAGGAGCTCGCGCCGCTGATGTTGGATTGAGGCTGGACGGATCTGAACACTACTCTGGCAACCATGAGTAGGGTCGTCTGCTGGCTGAGTCTTTGGGAACAGGCTCTAGAGAACGCCCTCACTACTGCCGGCTGGCTGAATTTAACGGAATATCAAGGGCTGCATTTCATTGGGGATCCTACCTAACCCCGCCAAAATCTTCACTTCAGTAACCCTCAGAAAGCGCATCCTTGAAATGTGGTGCCTGTAGTCTCCCTCTGTGACAACCTCAGCAACGTCGCCGCTCATCTTCACCACACGCGCCTGCAAAAGTTTAGGATTTCGGGCTTGGCGCTATGCAGTAAAATTACAAGACGCAGGTGGATTAAGCAAAATAATTATCAAGCGAGCATAGGGTGGTCATAACTTGGGTATTTCCCTAGCTGGGTTGTGGTCGCGCGGTGTCGCACAGCAACCACAATGCTTGAAGAATGGGCCATACTGGCACGACTGATACTCAAGCGGAAAAAGGCCCATTCTCAGGAAACAGATGTCGCAGCGGAGTTCCCCTGGACCCTAAACCCCTAAACACTAAACCCCTAAACCCTAAACTGCGTGAGGGAGGGCAAGGCCCACAATGCCAACAAAAGATGCAGATGTTGTGCTTCCAATGCTCATTTCAAAATTTGATGAAATTTGAATTACGTGGCCTGCGTGTCGACGCAGGAAGCAGCAAGGGAAATCAGTGTTGGCTTCAGAGTCATTCGGTAGTAAAGAGGGGGACCCCGGTATAAACCCCAAAATACTATAGTCCCCATTATTGGGGCCTCCTCATAGGGTCACCCCTAATCTGGGAAACTGCCAGTGGAGGACCTAGCTACCTTTCACCAGGGTCTTGCTGAACTTAGAGGTTCTGGACTACGAGACAGGTTGGTCTGGTCTCAAAGGGTTGAGATGGGTTTAGGGTTTAGGATTTACGCGGTCTGGGTTTTAGGGTCTAGGGTGGAAGCTCATTGTAGGCTGCACGAAAAACGACATGGTGGTGGGATTAAGGCTTAGGGGAGCTCAGGGGTAGTTTGCAATTTGGTGCCAATACTAACTGCCACCTACCTGCCGGTCTCTCCATACAGACCGATTCACACCACAGAGTAACATCAGGCCTGCCGATATCCGACTCGAGGACTGCATTCGCTTTGAGGGGCAAGCTCAAGCGGGTTTGCTGTTTAGGGGGGGGGTTAGGGTTTAGTGTTTTTTTCAGTTTAGGGCTCCTTGCACCCAGAGTTCAAAAGAGCATTCCTAAGCCGCTATTGTAGCTCCATGGAGTTTGTGAATTATGCATTGAGGTATCGTCGGCACATGAGGGCGCTGTGAACCCCCCGATTTCTTGAATGAGGGGCATGCGCCCAAATACGATAATCCTTATTAAGTATCGCCCAAGAAGGTGGGAAGCCCCCCCGATTCCTTGAATGAAGGGCGTGCAAGTGTTGAGTGTTTATACCGTTGCAACCCTAAACCCTAAACCCTAAACCCTAGAACCCTAAAACCCTAAACCCTGAACCCCTAAACCCTAAACCCCTAAACCCTAAACCCTAACTGGCTAGGAAGTCCCTGCTTTCGACACTGTATGCGCCGATTGATTTCTTGGGCCTAAGGGTCCAAGTACCCAAATGATAGGGTCCCTTTAAAGGGGTTATAGGGGAATATATAGGGTTTAGGGTTTAAGGGTCCAAGTACCCAAATATTGGGGCTTTAGGTACCCTAAAGCCCTATTATTGGGGTACTTGGACCCTTAGGGTTGGTCATTCAAAGGAGACGCCAACCCTCCCCAGCCTAAGCCAAAGTCTCTGGACCGAAAAATATACAGCCAGTGCGTGGCTTTCAAATGATAACCTCCAGGTGTTGCTTTCTAGTTTCCAGTCCCTATGTTCTGAAAATTTCTGCGCGTATGTAGAACTCAACACACACCAAAAAACCGAGCATAGAAATCGGCGCCTTTAACAGCAGAATATCAAAAGCAGTTTTAACGGCTATAGTCCCCCTTAAGTAGATAGAATGGTGCTTCTAAGATTAGAATTTTGGGCCGTTGATATGGACCATTGGGCCTCTAGGGGGGATTCTGGGGACCCTTAAGGGCACATATAGGGTATATTGTAGAATAGGTATAAGGATCCCAGAATTAAGGGCCCATACTAGGGGCCCATGGTTTCAACCTTTGAGGTGCTACCCCACAAGGCGCTTCCTTAACTGGTCTCATTGGAGCAGCACTTTTTCCGGTGGCTGAACCAAGCATCAACAAATTCCTCTTATAGACTACCATGCCCGGAAGGAAGATATATTCTTATTGTAGATTTTGGGGGCTGGTGATCTCCAAATTCAATTCCACTCGTTCAGGGCAAAGTAAGGCTAGTTAAAGGAGAGCCTCCTTTGGGGTTGGTACAGCCCATACAGGCAAGAGAGCAGTACGCGCCTTCTTCACTTTTTCGTCTTGGTCACCTGCTGTACAGTTTTTTTTTTGGGGGGCTTCCGAAGTTCTTATAACATAAACTATGCTCAAGAAGACGGACCTCTTGGAGCAGCATTTTTTGGGGTTGTTCCACCGGGTAAGATGCTGCCCTTGCGGGAAATACTGCACGCCGAGTGGAAAGGGAGGATATGATTCCACTCTATCTTGGGGACCAGGGTATCCTCTTCTGAGTTGCTGTTAAGGAACTTAAGTTAGATTGCCATATGATGGGTATATAGTAAATACTACAGGGTTTCCTTCTTATAGCAACTCTACTTAGATTCTATAGGTTCCTTAACAGAAGCCCAGTCTTAGAAGACTACTCACGAGAACAAGTCAGGTTCAAGTCGAGAAAGGCCCTCGAGCAGATGCAAGATTGCTCTCGCCCGAAACAGCTGTGGTGCCCACACAAGCCCCTTCCAAAAAGGACAGTAGTGTACTTAACCACTTCCGTGGGGTCACACTTCACTACCATTTACCGTTGCTGTTGTCAATAAAATAGCTGTCACTGTTACAATTACTATTCAATCAGAGTGTCCATAAATGAGGAGCCGCAATATGGACCGCAATAAACTAGAGTCCCCTCTGTAGGGTATTCATATGATTGCTTTTAAGAAGGGTCCCCAGTTTTCGGCCCAAACCTATGTGATCTACAGTCCAAACTCCCGGTATCCCACCTTGATAGCCCCCATAACGCTCCCCTAAATAACCCCCCTTCAGGAGTTTAGACTAGAGCTCATGTCAATGCAGCAAGCCCTAAACCCTCAACCCTAAACCCGGGAACTCCTTCCTTCCTGGCCCCGCCGAAGCAGCTTTTGCTGCGTGGTAATGTAGACACGTGATTAATGAACGCCCTCCCCTTAGTAGGGATAAGGGTTTAGGGTCTAGGGCTTAGGGATTCTGGGAGGGATCCTGATATGAAAGCCCTTGAGCAGAGGAGGGTTTATTAATCACGGGTCTGAGTCTACATTACTGTCAATGCCCCTAAATGATTTGTGAATAGGTTTTCTTATCGAGTTACTCAAAGTGCCACCTAGGCGCGAGAATTACGTGAGCCTGTACAATCACTAACTTTTTTTTATTGTGGGGGACATCTGAACTAGAACTGCACACGCCAAACCCGGGTGATGTTACATTTGGCTCCTGATTCTTTGCGACGCAACACGCTCAACCAGATTATGATGACAGGGGTCTATGTTCCCAGTTCGTTTCCAAATATGTCATACTGACTGACAGGAGTCGGAACTTGACTGTAAGCCGGCAACCCTACATTCCCGATGATCGCCGCAAACTCCCATCCCCAAACCCTGAACTTACTGGTTCTTAGTAAGGAATACCAGAATATAATCCCTACATAATGTATCCTCCCTTTCTTACCTACTAACCCCGAGTAAGAGAAAGTCTCAGGAAGCTGCTTCCCACAGCCACGCGCTTGAACAGGATCTTCTCAGCCGCTTCGCTTGGCGAACCTGGGCGTCAAAACCATGCAGAGAATACCTATATAGTTTAGGGTCTACGGCTTAGGGCCAGGGGTTTGGAGCGAGTAAGGGAACATAATCCCTGTTTACTGGGTTGCCGTCAAAGAACATAATTCAATGAAGTTACCACATTATGCTATATAGTAAAGATGGTTTGCTTATTTCAGCTATTGTAACTAAAGTTGCTAAACAGCAACCCAGAAGTATCAGGCTTACGACGCAGTTTTCCTCTGCGCGGCTTCAGTTCAATTCCTTCGTGCTTGCTGAGGGATGAAGAACGGGATCCACGTATGAGCTATGGTCTTGACTCCCCCTTACTCAGCCCTATAATCGGAACCCTACATCATCCCCATATAACCCCCTTTAAGGAGTTTAGACCCTATGACCGAGCATAGTTGCCGCGCAGCCCTATAACACAGCGCATGGCCGCTTTAGGGTTTAGGGTTTTCACCCGTTTAGGGTTTTAGGTTTAGGCTTCAGGGTTTACGGTCCGTGTAGCTAGGCCCAAAGGGGTTCCTAAGTATTCCTACTTAAGGCCGAAAAATATGGGTTGTTCTAAAACATTACGGGCCCTTTTGCTTATTCATTGTATTAAGGCACCTAATATTTCGGGGTACCAAAATGGGACCCTGATCTTGAGAACTACCCCTATACCATGCAGCTATATGGGCCCCTTGCGTTTGGTGGGACCTGCATCAAGGGCTTCAAGACACGCATTTACAATCCACTTTGCAGGCCCCGGAAACCAGCAAAACCCGGAAGCCCCGTTTAGGGTTTAGGGTTTGCCCCCCTGAGCCGCAAAACCTAAATCACAGCTTCCGTTTCTTTGTCCAATTGATTTTCCATGATTCTCCAGTACTATGCCCGTATCCGACGAGAACCCCCAGCAAGCCCCAGAACTTAAAAACCCCCTAGGCCGCGAACCCTAAACCCTAAACCCAACCCCCTAGGCCCCGAACCCTTAACCCTGTTCAGCTTTCTAGTCTCCCTGCCGGTCCGGAGCTCAAGCCCGGGCGTTCCCAGAAGCACATAGAAAGCTGTACCCTGCCCCGAGCTTAGGGTTTAGCATTTAGGGCTTAGGGTTTAGGGCTTAGGTTCTTAGGGTTTTGGGCCCCAAGCTGACAGGCAATCCCAGTTAGCACCCTTCTATGACGAGAGCAGGCTTCATAGATCATTGTTTGGGTTCCTTGTTAAGTTGGGGCAGTAACCTCTCAAAGTATTGCCCCTAAAATTCTCAATGCGAACCCCAACAAGCCCATTCTCCCCTTGTCGTCTGCATGTCTGAGGGCACCGCTGTAAAGACTACCCTATACACCTAAATCCTAAATCCTAGCTCTTTGAACCTCTAATTCCTCAACCCTGAACCCTAAACCAGTAGCCTTGGCCTTTCAAAGCCTAAACCCCAAACCCCGAACTCTAACCCCTAAGCCCTGAAATTCACACCCAGGCCGCCGGCCGTTACCCAGCAGGTCTGCCGTGGAGTTTTTGCCAGTTGGGGTAGAGACCTGACACGGGGAACCGGGGAACGTCTGTGCAGGACATCTGGGCAGTTCCCAAAATTAGGGGTACCAGTTTGGGGGTCTCCATTATAAGGGTTATCATATTTTGGAATCTATATTGGGGTCCCCATATTTTGGGAAGCTACCACTTGCCAAACTAGTTAATGAGTTTGGGGGGTCCCTAATTTCCAAAAACCATGAACCCCTGAAATCATAGCAGCTCCGAGCCTTGAAGAGGTTTTGAAGGGGGAGCTCCATTTTTGGCAACGCCCCTAGACCAAAACACTAAACCCTATATACCCCTATATAGTCCCCATATGACATATATATATATATATCCCTATATATCCCCTATAACCCTTTTACAGGGACCCCCTAATGTTGGAAAGTTGGGGTATGGATCTTGGCTAGGTGCTCAAAGGCCTCAAGTCGAGCGCCTGCACCCTTGAATCGAATCCTAGCCTATGAAGCCAATAGCCGGAAGCCCACTGACAACTTAAGGTGCCCAAATGAAGAGTTTGAAGCCGGACGGATAGTATACCTTAGGTCGACCCCCACCCAGCAATAGTGACTATAATGTGATAATGAAGATTATAGTAGGGTCCTCTTATATTCCTGCTATACCACTGT